TGCCACGGACTGAAGAAACTCAAACAACTGACATTAAAAAAGAATTAACTCTTCTGCATATTAAGGCATTTTCTTTCTGGAAACCCAAGGCCATTTTGTTTTTTAGTTCCTGGGATGGATTTGTTCATTGACAGCAGCAAAATAAGTGTCTAAATTCAAAAGTAACTGGTTCCTGCAGAGCTCCTGGGGCTGAGCAGGACGTGGTGGCTCCACAGGGTGAGGTCACTCCCACCTTTATTTTCCCTGGCTTCACTTTCTACCTTCCTGAATGCAGATGGGAGGGCTGGAAATCCCTTAAATCACTCCCTTCACACACAGGGGGAGATCAGAAAAGTGTCTGCTCATGGAAATGATTCCGTGCCCGTTCGAAAAGGCCAAACTTGATGGCTCCCAGCTCGTCATTATCTGATGGGGAAACATCTCCCACATCTGTCAGCACCCGTTTGGGGAGGTTTAATGATTTAAAAACTCCAAGGGAGGAGTAAAATATGTTTATTTGGGCTTTGGGGAGGGTGTTTTCACCTCTGGGCAGTGCCAGGGTCGCTCCATCTCTTGCCCTGCCCGGAGTTGACATCACAAGAGGCACAAACAAACAGGGAAAAGAGAAGCTCTTGCTGGTCTGAAGCTGAAATATTTTCCATAATCCGTGTTTTTTAAAACTGCCAAGCTGAGGACAAAAGTCAGAAGAAGGGGAAAAAAAAAGAAAAAAAAAGAAAAAAAAAAAGAAGTTATTTTTCAGCCTTGGAAGGTCAAGTTCTAAAAATAAGTGGAAAACATGGAAAACATCTACACCCCGTGAGGTGGGACGTGAAGGGTTTTCCGAGGGGTTCTTGTGGGGGATCAAGGGATGTGAAAGATAGAGGGAAGGTTCCCCAAAAGCATCTCCTTTTCCTCCCAGTCCAAGGGCAAGAGCTCTTCACAAAGGCTCCTCTGTCCCTGCTCCAATTCCATCCCTGGAGGTGTCCAAGGATGGGGCTTGGAGCAACCTGGGATAGTGGGAGGTGTCCCTGCCCATGGCAGGGGGTGGGATGGGATGGGATGGGATGGGATGGGATGGGATGGGGTGGGATGGGATGGGATGGGATGGGATTTAAGCTCCTTCCAACCCAAACCATTCCACGATTCAGTGTAGCTGGACCAACCTGACCCAGTTCATTCAGGAGCAGGTCAATAAGATTGGAGAATTTCTCCCCCTCCCAGGAGAAATCAGAATTTCCCAGCAGCTCCTGTTCAGCTGTGTTTCCTTCGGATGCTGCTGTTTGACGCCTGCGAATTCCCAAAATAAACCCCGGGAAAAGAACCAGATGCCGGAATTTGGGAACCTGGCCGCCAGCAGGAGCCTCAGCCTTGTCCTACCTCTGTGCCTCCAGACAAAACAAAACCCCCTGCTCCCAGAAATCCGTGGATTTTCCAGCTTGACCGTGTCCAAACGTTCAGCTGTTGCTAAAACACAATCCCGACAAAACAGGATTCCAAACGATCCCCTCGCGGTGCCGGGGCAAGGGCAGTCAGGGATTAACTGGAGAGTGAGGAACAACAACACCAGCAGGGAGAGGCTGGCTCCCTGTGGGATAGAAACACCCAGGGTGTGAATATTCCAAACAATCCCGGCGGTTCCAGGGGGGAAAACGGCCCCGTCCCCCTCCCTGCATTCCCTCCCTGCCCTCATCCCTCCTGGCTGAGGAGTCACAGCCTGCTGCAAGTCTGGGTTGTGTCTCCAGCTCTGAACTCCTCAGGGAATCGGGGCACTGAGGACCTTTTGTAAATAATTCTGGGTTTTCTTGTTGTTTTAATTTATCTGTCTGTTGAGTCGGTGCCGAACTGCAGCGAGGGGGGAGTCAGGGCTGGATGTGGCCCCGTTGGGAACTTCGCTGGGTTTATCATTTATTGCCCCTTGCTGCTGCCTCCCCTGATGATGGGATTTGACTCTTGTCCACCAGAGCCCAAAAATAAATTAAAATGCAAGTCACACAGCTCGCTGGGGCAGTGGCACAACCCCACCAGCACAGCCACTGGCACCTTGGGATGAGAGCATTTCCCTGGAAGGAGCCACTTCCTGACACCCCAGACACTGAGCCCTGCCCTCAGGTGAGATCAGGATTCCAGCAGAATTCCTGCTTTCCTGCCTATTCCCCCAAAACTGTTCAAAATCTGATTTTTAAGGTCCCTTCCAACCCAAACCACTCCAGGATTCCGGGAAACCACGAGTAAGGAACAGCAGCAGCTCCTGCCCCACGAGGCTCTTCCCTCTCCCTCTCTCTCGTGAGGCTCCCACCAGGACAACCAGTCCAGTAACTCACTTTTCACTGCCCCATTTCACTCCTGAGGGAGAAAGAACCCCCCCTGAGTGCACCGTGGGAAGGGGGGTGATCCTGAGCAGCAGGAAGCAGGATGAGGCTCAGAGCCCCTCCAGGTGGATTTGGTCACCTGGAGCTCCATCCAGGGAGTCCCCTCGGGGACAGCAGCAGATGGGACCAGTCACAGGATGGGTGACAAAGCCATGACACAGGTCCAGAGCCTCCCCTAGGAATGTGGGATCACCCTGGACGTTGGTCTTTACTTAAAATACAGCCCAGAACCTCCCAGTGCTCTGCTGGGTTCTGCTCCTCTCCTTTCTGCCTCCAGAAAGGTCTCAGCACCGTCAAACATTCCACCCTCCCGGGTCCCCCACTGGTGCTCCCAGCCCTTCCAAGATGCCTGAGCTGTTGTGTCAGCCCCATCCTGCCTGAGGAGAACCTGGAATTAATGTGGCTCGTGCAGAACCCGGGCCAGGGGGCCAGTGGAAGCCCCCCCAAACCCCCCAGCAGCCCTCGCTCAGCCTCCTGGAGGGCTGGCAAAGACAAATGGGGACCAAGCAGAGGGGCTGGACGGGCCAGTGGCACTTTGGGACTGGGAAAAGCTCTGTCCCAGCGCTTGCCACCCTTTCCAGAGGCTCCTGGAACGATCCTGATGGATGGGGGAGGAAAGGCTTGCCAGGGCTCCCTCTCCCCACCATCACCCTGCTCCCAGCTCTCCCCCCACCCGGCCCATGTCGCAATCCCACCCCCCCCTCCCAGGAGGGTCGTTAAAACCTCACAGGAAACTGCTGCACATTTTTTCCTGGGCTATTCATGCCCTTTTTTTTGGTTTTGTTTTTTTTTTTTCTATCAGGGACAATAAAGATTTCCAAGGCTGGGTTAAGCTCCTCTCGCAACAATGAGCTCCTGTTGCTCCAGGAGCCAGCAGGAGCCCAGACATTGAGGAAACTGGGAATAATTCACTGGAATTGTACTGGGAAAAAAAAAAAAAAAAAGAAAAAAAAAGAGGACTGGAGGCTGTTTTGACCAAGAGAGATGCAAAGTGATGTGATGGTTAAGCCATCACGGCTTGCTGGGAATTATTATTGGGACTGTCATTAATGTTTGGGGTTTTAGGCAGGTTTTCCCAGTTAAAAAGGGCTTTGGCCCTCATCTCCCTTTTTTGGATTTTGCTCCTAAAAAACAAAAAAACCACCTCCCAGAGCCATAATGACAATAACACAGATTCACTGCCTGCCCTCCCCTCGGCACCAAGTCACTTCCCAAAACTCCTGGGGATGGCAGAGCTTAAAAAATAAAAGCTTTTCTGAGCAGGCTGGCTCTTCTTTCCCCCCCTGGACGATGTCTAAAATTGATCTCTGCTGTCCAACCTTCTCCTCCTGTAACCCAGGGGTCTTCAGCAGGAGTGTAAACAGGAATTGGCCGGTGGCAGCCGGGACTGGAAGTGCTCAGGGCTCTGAGATCACCACGTGTAGGTGGGCAGACAGCACGTCCACGCTTTAATAGCCCTGGGACCTCTCTTAGGGAGCATTGACTCGGGTTTGAACGTGGACCAAGGCTTGTTAACTCCCAGGGAACATCTGGCACTGCCCCCTGGCCAGGCAGAACCCTGGAGCTGAGGGAATCTCCTCGCTGTGTGAGCACAGGGCTGGTTCAGCAGCCCCCCTTGTGCGGGAATAAAGACATTTCTGTGCCACCTCCCCTCCTAAAACTGCCCTCAAAGGGAGGGTTTGCTGCCCTTGAAGAGGCCACCAGCCCTGGGACATCCAGCTGCAGAAACAGAGCAGCTCCTTTCAGCCAGGAACACCCCCGGAGAACGCGGTGATGATCCCACCCCGCACCACCGACACCTCCAGGACAGGGGGTGCAGCCAAACCCACAGCTCAGGGCAGGGGAAAAGGGGAAAAAACCTCCAGCCTGGGGCTCCAGGGAAAACCCTGTGCCTTCATGGGGAGCCAAGGAAAGGAGCTCCATCCACGGGGCACAGAGGTGGCCTTTCAGTGGGCACATCCCAAAGGGCCAAGGGGGCAGCTCTGGGTTCCACAGCCCCTCCTGCCTCCCCCGTGGGGAGCACTGGGGAGCCCCCCCCTCCCAGTTCAGGCAGGCCACAGAGCCAGCCTTTCTCCTGGAATCTCCAGGGGAACCCCCAGGGATTTTTTTTTTTCCATGCCCAGGGTTATGTTCAGCAAACCTGCTGAGCAAACACACAGCCAAAAAAGCCACAGCCTTTAAATAAGTGTTGATTGGAGATTAATGACAGTTCTCTGGGCACTTCCTCTGGCTGGTTGAAACAGGGGCTGTTTTTTCCCCCCTCCCAGTTGTCCTCTCCCTACTAATTAACTCCACTGCTTACATTAAAAAAAAAAAAAAAAAAGAAAAAAAAAAAGATACCCAGGGGGATTTTAACAGCTGGAATGAAGCAAAACCAGCCCTGAGCAATCAGGTCTTTTCAGGACAACGGTGATCAAAGAGGTGCTCTGTAAAAATGGTCTTGGCAGCCAGCTGTTGGCAGGGGACATAAAGCTTTTTTTTCCCCTGCTGGAAATTAGATTTAAACTTGTACAGAGAGGAAGAAAGGATCGATCATCCTGTAATAATCCCCCTTTCTCCAAACTCAGCTCTTCCAATGGGACAAAGAAAGGGGGGGGGAAAGAAATCCAGGCCGAAGTGTAACACTCTCTGGCTCATCTCAGGAAGAGGCTAGACACTTAAATTCAGTTTTAATATAGACATTTAGCACTTGTGTGAGGAAATTTGTCTTTTTCTTACACCAGGGAAATGGGGGAAAAAAAGCCTTTGTGAATGGCAATGAAGATTCTCTTCTTTCTTCAGCTGCTGAGGAATCAGGGGGTTCATGGAGGGCACAAAGAATAGAGGGATAAAGGAAGCACCAGCAAATTGTCAAGGTTGTTCTCTAAAGTGCTCTCATAATCCAGATGTAAAATGAGGACCCTGAAAAAGAAAATGAGTTTCTTATTATAACAGAGCCTCAGCATCCCACCCAAATCCTCCCTCCTCTTAGGGGAGTGGGAGAGCAGAGCTTTGCCTCAGCCTTTTTGGTTTTTTTTGCTCATCCCCTCCTAAAACTGATCTTAGACCTCAAGCAGACAAGAATAAACCTTCTCCCTGGGTGGAGCCCACCTGTGCTGCCTCCTCCAGGCCATTGGCAGGTGCAGGCCAAAAGAATTAATTAAAAGGGTTAAATTAAAAACAGCTGCGCTGGGAGAGCTGCCCCTTTCCCCAACCTGAGGGCTCCCTGGCTCCCAACCCCCTGTTTTCCTGGCCCTCAGCTCTCTCCTCACACACATGTTGTGTTTTCTGAGCTTTGAGACATTACAGAGCACTGGCTGAGTCCGAAAATGGCGCTTCTTTGCACATCACTGATGAACTCACAGGAAAATTCAGCATCATCCAGGCTGGAGGGTTGTTTTGGGGATGTGTTTCACTTCTTTTTCTCGCCCCCAGAGAAATGGAAAAACAGGCTCACAAGGGGTGGGAAGCTCTCCAGGACGATGGAGAGCAGGGACTAATCCAAACCTCTGGAGTTTTCAGGAAAATATCAGCCCAGAAAACCTCACAGGGACGAGCTGGCTCTGGAGAATTTCTGGCAATTCCTTCTCCCGACCCCACCCAAAGCTGAAAAACAGAAGCAAATCTGCTCTTTTTTTCCCCCTGACATCTTTCAGGATCGTGGTCTGTGCAAAGATCTAAAGTTCACCTGAACTTCTTATCCAAAGGGGAAGAGCACAGGTTGTTCCTGATGGTGATGGGCACAGATTGATTTTAATCCCCCTCCTGGAAATGAGAAGTTTGGGCCTCTGCCCTTTTTGCAGTTCCTTCAATAAAGCCCAATTTTGGCCAGCACAGCAGGCAGGATGTCCCATTGAGCTCCCCTCAAGCCAGGGCACGTTGGGTGGGAGTGATACCCCCGAAAATGGTTGGACTCCAAGAGCTGCCCCCCTCAAAAAACTCCCTCCTGGACGTCCCCTCAGCCTTTGCAGGCTTTCTGCACAAGCCATTCCTTCTTCCAGGAAAAGCACACACCATTCCAGGAACCCCCCAGGCCTCGGGTGGATAAACGGGGATGGCAAAAGCGATTTCCATCCGGAGCCGAGGCTGAAATACTGACCAAAGGGCTCCTGTGCAGGCCAAGATTTCCCCAGGAAATCAACCCCCCAAGGCATGATGGTTTGGAGGGGAGGATTTCTGGAAAGGCCTAACCCTGTGCACTCAGCAAAACCTGATCTGGACAGCCTGAGGTCATTCCCTGGCTCCCAGGCACAGCTGGGAGCTGCTCCCAACGCAGCGGGAAGAGAAGTTGTTTCTGGAGAGATCCAAGTTCTGAACCTCCTCATAAAACAGGAGCCTTGGCCACTGCAGAGCTGCAGGTGCCCCTTGCAGTGCTTTGCTTTGGTCCTCTTTCTTTATTTTCTTGTTGTCCCCCCAGCTGAGGTTTGTGGTGGCCTCTGAGTGGGATAGGGAAGAGAAGGGATGAAAAAAGACAAAAGGTGCAAGGTTTATGCAAAGCTGGCCAGGCCTTCAACTTTTTAAGGCTGAACTGGAGGGAATTTGCTCAGAATTATATGGAAAGGGCTATTCCTTTACCCCACCCTGAGGATGAGCCATCAGTCCAGACCACCTGCAGCACCTCCAAACCAAAACCTACACCCAACACCAGGTTCTCACGGGGCAGTTTTGCTGTTTCCCGCTGTTCCTCAAGTCATGGAGTCCACAGGAATCACATCCCTGGGTTTGTGGCAGCCTTTTGGATCCCTCAGCCAAGGAGGAGGACGGAGGTTTTCACTGGTGTTGGGCTGAGCCCCAAGGGAGCAGCTCAGGATCAGCCTGGGATCATGGGGACCACTCTGGGATCAGTCTGGGATCACAGGGATCACTCTGGGATCACTCTGGGATCATCTGGGATCACAGCAATCTTCCAGGCTGTTCCAGTGCTCCATCTATCCCAAAGTTTGGCTCCTGACAAGACACATGGACCGATCAGGACACCCAATTCATCTGGAGCTGTAACACCTCCCCCCCCCTGCATTTCCTGGTACCCCCTCACGCCCACAGAGAATTCCAGGTTATTTATCTGCCCCTCCCCAGGATTATTCCCATCTGGTTTCCCCACCACGACCTTGCAACGCTCTGGACCTTCCCCAGGCTCTTTATTACCCTGAAGTGCTGTGGGAGTTCTTCCCCCTCTTGGCTGGTGGCCCTGGCTCGCTCCTGCTCCGAAGGAATTCGTTGCCCAACGTTCCACCTTCCTCCCCTGGTTGAAATGACATCATCCCCGAGGTGCTCTTTGGGATTATTGCTCTCCAGGCCTTCTCCATGTCCCTTTTGCAATCTCCCTTTTCTTCCAGCACAAAGTCACGTCCTGCCTGAGGCTGGAATGTCACTGCCATGCCAGGAGCTTCCCGGAGCATCTTTGCTCTGTCCTCATCCTATGGCTGGGGGAAAAAAAAAATAAAAACAACCAAAAAAAACCCCCAAAAAAAGCGGGATCCGGTTCAACATTTCATCTTCTCAATGACACTTGCTAACAACTTACATGGAAAATACTCCTGGGCCTCCTCCATGTGACATCAGGCTCATGGATTTTCTGGAGCGGGGCTGAGGAACCACTCGCAAACTTCTGTTTGATCATAAATCAAGGCCAGTAATGACCTTTCCCGCTGAAAACAGCCCCAGGTTTGCCGTTTCCAGGCTCCAGGACCGGCCTGGAATTCCAGCAGCTTCCATCAGAGCACCTGCAGCAACTTCTGGGCGGTGAATCCCGACCGGCACCGCTTTTGGAAAGGCTGTTCTAGGTGACTCTGGAGGGAGCAGCCTGGGCAGGCTCCTGATCTCTGCTTTTCCATGGCTCTTCCAGGCCTTTTCCCAGCTCTTTACTCCTTGTCCTCCCAGCTGCCTTCCCCCTGAGAGCTCTGCCTCAGGCACAGGCCAAGGATGCCTGGGCAATTCACCTGGAAGTGCCGCTGGAAGCCCGGTCGGGGGCAGGTTGGATGAGATCCAGAGCAGGTCCTGAGGGGCCAGGGGCTCTTAAATCCCATGTGGGGGACCCCCAGGAGGCAGTTTAGGGCAGGGGGGATCCCTCCTGAGGAGCAGGCTGGGAAACTGTGAGGGAAAAGAGAGAGAATCTTCATCCCAGGGAGCACATGGGACACTCCCAAACATCAGTGGCACAGTGAGGAACCTTCTTGCCAGCCCTGAGGGGCAAATCCCTCAGGATTTGGAGCCCTCTGTGTTTAGGAAGCTGGGGGAACCATCAACTGAAACGTTTCATGGAAACCCCATAAAATCCTGGGACCCCAGAGCTTTCCACCCTGCCTTGGCCCAAACCCCTCCGGCGGGGCTGGGGACACTTCCAAGGAGCTCCTGATTTCTGGGAAGGTGTTATTACACAACCACACTGCAGCCATTGACAGAGCTCAGCACTGGGCCTGCTTCCCTCCCCCCTTCCAACCCGCAGCACTCCGCAAGGAAAAACATTCCTTCCACTTGGAGCTTCTCCCTGCCCCCAAGCCAAGCCTGGGCCAGGCCCCCCCAACTCCTTCCTCACCCCCAGAACACCCCAAATGTCCCAGGGATTCCACGCTGGGGGGACAAGAAATAAATGCAGCACCCCAAACACCCCTCAGTTCTAGATCCAGTTTGCTTTGTCAGGCAAGAAAAGAAGTGGATCATCCCCAGCCTTCCCTGTGGCTGCTGCTGGGAAAGCACAAAGTTCCTCACGCTCCTTGTTTTCCGAGCTTTTCAACATTTCCGAGGTGGAGATGGGGAATTCTCATGTTTGACACCCAGAGGAACCGAGAGCTGAAAGCCAGAGGGGGGAAATCCGTGAGAGCTGGAGGCCAGAACGTGAACTGGTTCATGTTCCAGACCTTCCTGCACCTTCCAGGTGTTGAGCCCAGCAGGAACCTGAGCCCCTCCCGTAAATCCTGGAGCCACATTATGGGGCTAAACACACCTTGCAGGTGTGTTCTGACCCCCCCAAATGTTGGGTTCCTTCCCATCATCTCATTTTTAAGGCAAGGGCCAAGCAAAGAGACTTCTTGTCCCCCCAGCAGGAAGAAGGATTTGTTTGGAAGGATTTACTTTAGAGGCAGGGAATGCACGTTGTTCTTGAACAAAAAGCCGAGGAAAAAGCCAGGGGTGGGACTGGAAAATTTAAAAAAAAATAAAATAAAAAAAATACTGGTTTTTCAAGGGGTTTGTTCTGCCCAGAACACAAAACCCAAGCTCCTGTTTAACCCTGCCCCAAAAATTCCAAACCTGGGGGGGGAAAGAGGGAGGAGAACTCAAACTGCCACTACCTGAGGGGCAACACCGCTGATGCTCCAACCATCCCGAAATCCCAAGGAGACCCCTAAAAACTCCCCCCACTTTTCTCCTTTTTCCTCCCCACACCAACCTGGGGAAGTTCCAGCAGGCTCTGAACCCTCTGTGAGGGCCTGGCTTTCCCATCACACTCAATCACCTCCATCTGCCCAGGGAGGGCTGCCAGGAATTCCACGACGCTTTTGTTTTCCAGCTCGGATCCAAAAACATCTGCTCTGGAGAGATCCCATGGACAGGGATGGCCGTGCCCCCTTCAGAAAAGGAGTGTTTTTAACCAGTCTCCTCCTTCCAGAGAAGGGTTTAATAGGTAACAGATACCCTCAAATATCTCCTCGAATAAAATAATTGAATTTTTTTTTTGCTTTTGCTGGGATTTTAGAAACTCTGCCCCTTTTTTTTTTTTTTTTTTTCTGGTGGTTTTTAACTTCTGGGGCCACTTAAACAGGGAGGAGATCCCTTCCTGGGGTATTTTTGTAAAGCTTAAAAACCTGCTGAAGGCCACAAGTTCTGCTGATAAAAGGATAATTCCCTCCATGAGTTCCTTGAATCCAGACCCTTGTTTAGGATCAACACACACTTCAGCTCTTCTCAAGGAGAGGGACTTAGGGAGGATTTAAATACCCTTTTGGAGGGAAGGATTCCGAACTTTATACCGAAATATCACGTTTTTAATTCTTATTTTCCTATTAAATATTTACAATGACAGTTAAACATCAAGATTCCGTGTTAAACAACAACTTAACAACTTTATTGGCTTTTCAATGCTTAGTAAAACAACGAGCTCCGTTTCCTGGCTTTCCCATATCGATGTTACCTTTTTTAAACGTCCCTCATCATCTCCAAGGACCTTTTCCATCCCAGATCACTGGAGAAAAATCTCCAAATCTCCTGCTCCTCTTTCCCTCGGTGCTTGATGTCCCCATGCCTTGTTCTGGGAATCCTTTCTGCAGCCACAGCTGGACCTGCAGGTGAATCAGTTCAAGCAGAATTATCCCGGGAAGTTGGCATGGTGGCAGATATTTCCAAACAAAAGGCTGGTGGGTGTTGCTGCGATCCCAAATCGAGCTGTTCTCTGGGTTTTGTTGTATTTTTTCTTTTTCCCCAGCCCCTTTTTAGCTTTCCTTCTGTGTCCCTCTCGTGGTAACAGAGCAGAAGTGTCTCCTCTGCAGTGGAATAACTTAATTCACAGCCTTCCAACCGTTTTTTTTCCCCTGCTTTTTTTTTTTTTTCTCCAGTGCTTTTTAAATTTTAAAATAAAATAATAAAGTAGACTTGATTGATATTTTGTCAGTTTAAAAGAGAAATATTTTTTATTAAAAAACCCCCAAATATCAAAACAGGTATTCTTTTCTCTTCCATTTATTACTACTCACGTGAGGTAAAAGTTGAAGGAATTTTCATCTGAAGATTCGTTTCCAAGGCCAGGACAGGGCTTGGAGCAACCTGGGCTTGTGGAAGGTGTGGAAAGGTGTGAAGGGGGTGGAACTGGATGGGCTTTAAGGTCCTTCCAACCCCAACCATCCTGGGATCCTCTAAGTTTTAAAACACTCCTGGACGTGAAACAAAAAGAGAAGGAACAGAGAAGTGGGAAAACCAAGTGATTAAATGTGCAGAATAAAGGTCCTGAGTGCATTTCTTGCTCAGCTGGGATGTTGAACATTCCCAGAGCTCCTTCCTCCACATCTGGGCTCTGCTCCCCCCTCATCTCCCCCTTCCACACTTCCTGGCCTTGGAAAGAAGTGTCCAAATGAAAATTCCTTAAAATTCCACCTCACCTGAACGGTGATAAACGGAAGTGCAAAGAATAACTGCGTTGGGTGTGCTTTTCAAATTAAAAAAAAAAATTATCTTCTATATGGACAAAATTTCAATAACATTTTATTTTATAAAAACCCCAAAAAACCTGAAACTGCAGGGAAAAACGTTGGCAGGCTGCGAATGAGTTATCCCACTGCGGATTGGCTGCCGCACCTGTCACTCAAAACCAAACCCCGCCTCCCACACCGCGTGGGCGGAGCGCCCCCACCCCCCTTCCTACCTCGAAGACCAATTGGCTGCAGCTCCTGTCGCTCAAACCCAAACCCCGCCTCCCCCTGTGTGGGCGGATCACGCCCCTCGAGGCCCCGCCCTCCCTTTCCCCTCGAAGACCCATTGGCCGCCGCGCCTGTCGCTCAGAACCGAAGCCCCGCCTCCCTCCGCGTGAGGGGCCCGCCCTCCCCACCGCCCCGCCCTCCTTTCCCCACCTCGAACACCCATTGGCCGCCGCGCCCGTCGCTCAGCGGCGAAACCCCGCCCCCCCCTCAGCGTGTGTGTCTGTGTGGGTGCGAGCGCGCCCCCTGCCGGCCGTTACGGGGGCGCCGCCGTGCGTGTGGCGTCACCCCGCCCCCGCGTCACCGCTCCGGGCCTGGCGCGCGCGGCGGCCGCGGCCGCACCGACCCCCTTCTTCTCCTTCTCCTTCAACCCCCCCAGCCGGGACCCCCTCACGGCCACCCCTCCTCCCCTCACGGCCCCTTCCGCAGGGGGGACGCGCCCCGAGCGAGCGCCGGGTTCGTTCCTCTCTCTCAGCTCTCTCCGCCTCTCTCTCTCGGTGTGTGTGTGCCGTGTGTGTGTGTGGCGGGGGCGGCGCGGCCTGGTGCGCGCGGCGGATCCCGCCGCTCGCGTAGCGCGGCCGCCCGGCGCTCGCTGAGGGCACAGCCGAGCAGGAGGAGGAGGAGGAGGAGGCGCCCGGCCTCGGGCCCCGCCGCCGCCGCCATGAGCGTGGAAGCGTACGGCCCCAGCTCGCAGACCCTCACCTTCCTGGACACCGAGGAGGCCGAGCTGCTCGGCGCCGACACGCAGGGCTCCGAGTTCGAGTTCACCGACTTCACCCTCCCCAGCCAGACCCAGACGCCGCCGGGGCCCGGCCAGGCGGGGCCGCAGCAAGGCCAAGGCCCCCCCGGCGCGGGGCAGGGCCCGCCGGGGCCGCTGGAAGCGCAGGTGAGGAGGGTGGTTTGTTTTTTTTGGGGGGGGGTTTTTTGATGGGGGGGAAGGTCCGGAAGGGGCCCGGGTTGGGGTCGGGGTTGGGCGGGGAGCGGGAGCCGCGTGTGGAGCGGGAAAGGGAGCGACGGATCCCGCCTCCCGTCGCGACAGGAGTCGCGTAAAAACCACCGCAAAAGCTCCGTGTTATTTCAATTTTGGTTTTTTTTTTCTTTTTTCCTCTTTAAACGTGGCTTTGGTTACCGAAAGTTGGGCGCTGAGGGAGTTCGGCTTTAATTTTTTTTTTATTTTATTTTAATTTTATTTTTTTTTTTAACTTCTCGTGGCTAAAATACGCTTTTAGTTTTTTATTTTAAAATGCGTGGGTTTCGTTCGCCATTACGATCGGTTTTATCGTCCTTTTCCACCTTTTGTGCCGCCCCGGGTTTGCTCGGGCTTTGCGTTGGAGGGACAGTCGATACCGGCCTGAGGTTTAAGTTCTGCTTCCTCGTGACTTAAAAAACAGGTTTTGGGGCCTATTTTTTTTTTTTTTTTCTGTCTTTGTTATAGCTCGGTATTAAAAACCCCTTATGATTGCTTAGCAGTTCCCAAAAGCGAAGGCAGGCAATTTGTGTTATATATTATATTTATGCTCACAAGAAGACGTTGCCACTGCTCCACCTTCTCTATGCCTGTGGTAAAAGCGACAGAAAAACTGAAAAACTCGTCCGTGTTTTTTTTTTTTTTTAAAAACTCCCACTTTTCTGCGTTTTAAAGATCATGGAAAGCTCAGCTCCATTCCAGATTCCTGCCCCACTATTAACAATTAAATACTCGCACATTTATCCACGTGTGAAGGGCCGAGTTTAAAGAGGAGTTGAAACTTTTAGGTAAGTTTTTCTCCCCAACCAAACGCGGTGGAGCCGAGGTTTTTATATCTTTTTTGGCCTTTTACTCGCCAAAGCAGCAGCAGAGCCAGCACTGAGGATCCCCAGGTGTGAAGGGCAGGGCTGAGGGGGGTTTTTCCTCCTGTCCCCGGGGGGTTTATCCCGGGACAAATCGAGTCACTTCTGGCGTCTTGAAAGTGCCCGGTGACATCCTGGGTGGTGTCACAGGATGTGCTCAGAAGGGCTGTTTGTTTGTCTTCTTTTAGCTTCACTTTGGGGTGGAATAGGTCAGAATTATTTGGTGCCGGTAGTAAAATCGGACTATGCGTGGATTGATGTTAAAATTTTTAATTAAACCTCGGGTTTTAAAGCTTTTAATGGCTTGTGATCGCTCCAGAACTCGCCAGGAGAGAACATGTGGCCAGAAAAAGGAGAAAAACCACCCCAAAATAAGCCTCATCAGCTAAAAGACCAGACAAGAGGATTAATAATTGCTCTTTTTTTTTTTTTTTTAAATGTCTAAACACGTTTGAAAAACCTTTGAAGTGAAAAGGGGAAAAAAAAAAAAAAGAATCCTAAAAGCTCTGGAGAGCACATTGAGGTGCTGGTTTGTCTGGCAGAAAGGAAGGGATTTTATGGTTGGTTTTTACCTTTTAATCCGTGTATTTTATATTTCTGCCAACTCTGGTCCTCCCTTTGACTTCAGAAATGTGTTTTTTTGGGGGTGGGTGTGAGGGGGATGGACCTGCAGCAACCAGGCCTCTCAGGAGCGGAATGAGAATCCTTCCCTCCCGAGCTGGAGTCAAACAAACCCCCTGGATCTGCTCAGACCTGCCCTCTCAGAGGCCTCCCGGGTGATAAGATCAGGAACGAGGTGGTTTGTTGTGTTGGTTTGGGGTTTTTTTTTCTTTTTATTATTTTTTTTTAAAGGTTCTGGGGGAAATTTTGCTGCCTTCAACAGCTGAGTGAAGCTTGTTGTGCCTTTTGGCAGGGGGCTTATTAAATTATAGCAGCTTCCCAACTGATCACGTTTTGCTTCATTAAATATTATTCCTGTGATTATAATTAAAGCTAATTAAGTAAATATGTGAAGCTGCTGAAGGTGGAAACTTCTACTCTGCTGTTGCATGTCCTGGTGTTTAAAAACAGTAGCTGAGCAGTGCAGGACCCCTGATTTTATTTATTTATTTCAGGGAAATGTGATGGATTAGTCAATAAAAATTTAGTTTCACCAAGTATATTTAATTAATAGCTTAAGAGCCTGTTAAAATTGATTAGTGCCCAATCGACAGAGGATAAAGAGCAGGCGTTCTCTGCTGGTTTTCCTTCAGGGAACTGGGTTCCCATTGCTCACCTGCAATTAAATATAGGAATATTTGAAGGGTCCAAGGCCAGGTTGGAGTCACCTGTTCCCGTGGCAGGAGGTTGGCACCTGTTGATCTCTGAGGTTTTCTCCAACCCAACCCCATCTCTAATTCCCTGAAATTCCCATTCCTGCCTCGTTTTTGGCTCCTGGGCCAAGGGCTGTCCCAGCAGTGCCCCCGGTGTGGAAGTGGGAGCCGAGGCTGGGGCAGCCCTGAGGGGTTTTTTTTTTATGGTCTAGACTAGGGAGGCTGGGTTTGATTTCCAGCCCTAACAAAGCCTTTTTTGTCTCAGCAAAATGACTTCTTGTTGCTCAGGTCCCATCTGGAAGCTCAGCCCAGGGTGGGGTGTGGGGGGGAAGAGTTCTCACCAAGAGCCACTTCCTCCTTTTGAAAGGGAAAGCAAATCAGCCTTCAGGGGGGTTCTCAGAGCCCACAGCGAATACTTCAGGCCTCCAAAGCCCAGAATCCACCAACCATCACCTGGGCTATCCATCCAAGTCCAAAAATGGGTGCATTCCTGAACAGAATTCGGGGAGAATTAAATTTCTGGGGCTTGGGGCTGAAGGTTTGGCTGCAGAAGTCCCTTTGTAGCCAAACACCCCCTGAAGTGCAGTCAGCTCTCCTGGTAAGGCTCAAAAGGCCCCACTCGGGAGTGGGAACTGGGGCAGGTGGCTCCAGGTGTGGCTCCAGGTGTGCTCCCCTGGGCTGGCTGGGCTGGGAATGTTCCCTTCCCGCTGCTCTGGGGGCTCCCACGGGAGAATCCTGCGAGGCTTTGGGTTGGGAGGGATCTCAGAGCCCGCCCAGTTCCACCTCCCTCTATCCCACTCTGCTCCAAGCTGCCCCTGGACACATCCCTTGGACTTTGCTGTCCCCCAGCCACTGTTCCAGAGGCCAGGAAAGGAGCAGGGAAGTGCCAGGATCTCTGTGGCACCTCAGAGCTGCCTTTGGAGCTGCTGAACTTGCTGGGCCAGAAGTTGCAGCCAACAAGTTGGAAAATAGAGAAGTTCTTTCCCCCCCCCCTCCCAGACACACACACACAAAACAGTTGCTGGTGCCAGGTTTTTAATCCTGTGCACATAAAGTGACATCACAGGAGGGTTGGGAACAATCACTTCCTCCCTGGGAGCCTGCCAAGGCCTCTGGCTGCTGCTGGATCTTCACAGGACAGGTGACATCAGTGACACCAGTGACATCATCCCTGCCCAGCTGAGGGCAGGAGCTCCCCGGGGGGGTCACCAGCACAGTCACCTCATGCACAACTACAGGGAACTTGCAGTTATTTCTTCATTTTCTGCCTTAAAAACCAAAAATAAAAGGAAGAACACCCAATTTTTTACAATTGTATTCCGGTTCAGGAATCCCAGGTTTTTAGGAGCACCCAAGAAATGCACTGAATGTATTCAAGTGACAGATGAAGTTTTGTCAGCTGATGTGGACTGAGAGTGTGTTGTGGCTCTTTGGAACAGAGAAATGCACCTGCTTTGGGGTAGGGAAAAAAAAGGAATAGAAAAATGCAGCTGCTTTAGGGCAGAAAAGGCCTGGGAGTTGTGCTGCTGAGGAACTCAGGTGGACTTAGAGCTTTGGAATTCCACCTGTTCCACACTCCCCTGTTCTGTGAAGTGGCACTATCCATTTCAGATGGATTTATCAGTTGGAGATGCTGTTGCACCAGGTAGATTGCATTAAATCTCAGTGCAACCCAGTTGTTGAAACAGTGAGTGAGTGATTTTTTTTTTATGCTGCCATTTGTAGATAAATCTTGTCTAACAATTTGTGCTTCTGAAATGCTGAGAGGGGTTAATACACCCCAGTTTGCTGGGATGGGGAATTTACTTCAGCACTCATTCCATGTTAATGTTGTGCAGTCACTGCTGTCACTGTGGTGATCCCTTTCCCACATTTTTCCACTCAGAATTATGGATCATGACACCCTTAGCCCTCCTCAGGTTTTGGGGGGATCTTGGCTGAACAAATCAAAGAATAAAGAGCCTGAGCCCAGTTTTTTGGGGGGGTGTGGAAGGTGCTGAAGCCCCTCCTTGCTGTAGGTGTGGAATGAAACCAGGACACCTGGGAGGCCCAGTGACATCCACACCCCTTTTGCTCCTTCCTGCTGGGAAATGTGCCCAAAAAAAGGAGTTATTTTTACCAGGAGAAAAGCTGGGGGGGGGGGGGTGGAGTGTGCAGAAGTTGCTGACACAGCACCAAATGGTGCAGAATTCCCTGCTTCTGGCATTGGTGTGTCAACAGCAACAGGAATAGGTGGGGAAAGTTCTGTACAGCAAAGATCCTGAAATTAAAAAAAAAAAACAAACCAACCCCAGTGTTTGATCCTGCTGGAATTGTTTGAATGGAATTCTGTTATGTAAGGCTGTGGAAAAATGGAACTGCAGCAAAGCAATCTCCTTTTGTCAACTTTTTTTTCCCCCCCAACTTATCAGTTGGAGTTTAAATAATTGGGTGAAGCAGGAGCTAATGGGGCAGGTATTGATTATGAGTTATGTAAGGCTGTGGAAAAATGGAACTGCAGCAAAGCAACCTCCTTTTGTCAACTTTTTTTTTTCCCCCCCTTCCCACTTATCAGTTGGAGTTTAAATATTCCTGTGAAGCAGGAGCTGAGGCACTGAGTCCATAATGTGTGTTTTTCCAGCTCTCAGCAGCGTTTTTCTGCCCTGTTGAGGATTTGAAAGGAGACACAAGCCTGTGCTTGGGGCAGTAGGGGTGGTTTGGGGG